ATCTTGACTCTAAAAATAAAAAATAAAAAGTCGTAATAACAATTTTTAAACCAACTGTTGCCATAAAAGTCATCAAATGGTCGGTGCAATCTTGCATTGTTAAACAATTCGGATTCTCCATCACCATTTCGGCTATTGATTCCAACATTGATGGAACTCTTATCTCCGCATCGGCTATTTTTTTATCAGCTTTTATCTTTTCAATGATTTTTGGGACGTTTGTGGACGTAATCTGGAACTTTCTTATTTCTTTTTGKCCCCATTTTTACACAATTTACCTCATTGATAACAGTTGTCGCCAAGCTCTGTAATTTCGTCTGTTCCCTATAGTAAGAGCTTAGTTTGAAAAATAAATCCATATGTAACCAAAAACTTTTAACACGAGTGAAAACAATTTCGTAAAATTTCCTAACATAGTGCGGGATTTCATTGTAATCAATCGAATGTGTATCTTGATCCTCTAGCAGTAAATCTGAAACAAACTGTAAAAAAAGTTCCGCAAACAAAATTCTTACCCATCGTAGCTTCAAAAGCTGTAAATTGCAAGAACGTGGAAATGTTAAATTCAGGCCCATTTGCATTTTTTCTCAAGTCCCCGACAAACTTTTTCGCATGTTTTTGGAACAGATGACAGTATCCTTCGATCATTTTTTGCGAAAATAAGGGTTGGAGCAACTTGCGATGATTCTTCTGTCTGGGGCCAGAGGACGTGAAAAGCCCTTTCCCGAGAAAAGGTTCAAGAAACCGGTAAAGAAACGACTTTGTTGTGATTTTCGTCGATTGCAAAATCAGCTAAAACCGAGTTTATTTTTATTTTGAAGAAAGGTTGTGTCAAGTACCTGGAGTTGGTTGGGGTCCTTCACAAAAAGCACCAATTTTGGGCCCACCCAAAGCCGGACTGGGGACGGAAAGGGGGCCGTAGCGGCGAGAAAATTAGTGAAAATTTCTGTAAAATAATCGTTTTCCCTTTCACGTTATTATTGAACTTGGCAGTGAGGGAGTGTTGCAACATAAGTAAAGGTTTGAGTCATTATAATTCGATTTGTTTATGGAAATTTATAAGTAGCACATGCATAAAACAATTCAAGTGTTCAAAAATGATAATTTAGTAAATTATTATCAAAAATCGGGTTATATAATCGAAGTAAAAGTAGCTCATTGTGTTTGTTTTAATTAAGAAAGGCGTAATGAGATAAATTTTGTTTAGTGCCAGTGGGCCAACACCCTTTCTAAAATTTTAATACATTATTATATTGTTCTTAAAAGATTGTTAATTAATATTAATTATTTATGCGGTTGTCCCATATTAACTAAAATAAATAAATATGGGGATTTTTTTTTGGTGATTTTCAGAAATGAAAAAATGTAACTATTAATTTACTTAGCATTTTAAACTAAATTACTACTCCTACCATAAAAAGTGATATAAAATATTAAGAATTTGACTAAAAATATTTGTCAAAATTTTGATTAACTCTTGTAGTAATAATTTTCGAACAATATACTTATGTTTTATAGCCACTTAAAATAAAATTTTAACTTTATTAAACGAGTTTTGCTATTACTTGTTTACAAACCTTTAAGAAAAACTGATGGATAATAAATAAARCACTGTAATAGTTATTTTTTTGTAATTTTGATAAATATAGATAAACTTTTTACTTCCTTGGGAGATTTTAAAAATTTTTACTACCTCTCCGAAATTAGTGTTAGGGTCGCAGGAAAAATGTATAAGAATAAAAAAATTCTCTGTTTTGAACTGCCAAAATTTATTATGTTTTTGAATGGTGAACCACTACGAGGATTTTCGTAGTAGGTTGTCACTCAACAATTTTTTTTTCTGAAAGCTGGAAGCAAATAAAATTCTTATGCTTCATGTTTTTTGTTCTGTATAATTTGTGTGCTAATTTTTTAAGATTTTTTGAATAATAATGTTGAGGTCTGTGTTCGATGGAGGAAAAATAATAACAAATCCAAGAAAAAAAGTTGTTTTTTTCAACAGAATTACAGTTAAAGTAAAAAATTCTACTTAATATTTTATTTTAACACTACTTTATCAACAGCTGGTTGTGTCGTCTCTATTTCATGAGATAGAAAATTTGAATATTTTCCTAGTAATTAAATTTTGCTTACCGTCATTTTTGCACAAAAACAAATGCCCATTACCCACCACAGGATAGGCCTTGGGTCCCGAAAGCTTGGCTGCAAAAAGATACAACTTCCGCCTGTCCCAATGGTACTTCGCAAGAAGACAAATAATGAAAATCACAAAAATGAGAAACAATAACGAAGGTTCGACTAGTTTCATGGCTCGATTTGTTACACAACGGGGAGCTTAAAGACACTGCCTCGTACTTTCGAACGGCACTTTAAATACCTAGGTATTGTTTACTTTCTAAGGTTTTTTCGCGTTT